GCAGGACCCAAAGCGTTGGCGGGAGGCAGTCACAGTGCGCCGCTGCCTGCCGGGAAGGGGAGGCGGGGTCTCGCCTCGGCCTCGCGCGCCAGAGGGCACCAAGACCGTCTCGCCCTGCCGCGCTGCTTTGGTGAAGGCCGCCAGGTGGCGACGCGACGGCTGAGGCAGCAGTATCGTTGCCGCCATGCCCAGGCGCCTCTGCAGAGGCTGGGCCCGCTCCTTCCTGCGTGGAGCACAGCGCTTAGGGCGGGCGTTGGAGTAGCAGGTCCTGGAAGGGCCCATCCAGTTTGAATTATTTTGTAAGCATATTACAAAATTCAACACGAAAACCGAGCAAAACTCACACCGGCAGCAGGCTTATGCGGTTCAAACTTTTATTGCAAGGCATTTCAGTGACTAGACTTCAAAGCTTTCGCGACAACCAAGTGTTACATGAGGAGAGAATGCAGTTGTCAACCTCACAGGTACACTGACTGCCGAGCAGCATCTCCATGTCGGGACGAAAGTAGCACCGTGCAACATCTCCAGGCTTGCTGCACTGAGAAGATTTCTTCGGGAGGAGTTCAGCCTGGTCCTCGGAAAGAAATGGAACAAGCCTGCCTCCAGTCCAGTTCCCATTCACCCCAATTCCTACAGAAGTCATTGTGTGCAAGCAAGTGTGGATTAAACATTCCTTAGCAGATATTGATATTTTATTTAAACGTAAAACTATCACCACTGTCACCTGCCTTTAATTAACTTTTTTTCGCAGTTTTCTTTAGTCCCACATCAGCTTGCATCTCTTTGCCCTCCACTTCCCTTACTTTTTACAGGCTCTTCCCCTTTCTTCATTAACAGTCATCTTTGTGACTGGAAAACTTTTCAAGCATTTACCCTCTTCCAGTCTCAGGCCTCACAAATGATAGCATCAGGATGGCCAAAAATTTTGCACACAGAAGGCATGTAGCAAGAAAGGGAGTTGTTTTGTGCATAAAGCACTCTCGCTAAAGGGAAGCTCTAAGCTTCTAAGCTCTGTAGGTACAGAGCCTAACAAAAAGAACCTGAGAGAATCTGAGACAAAGTCTCTTACCCCTTCCAGCAGCAAAGAGGTAGATGCAGAAGTGCTTTTCACATAGACAGAAAGGGGAAATTTTGTGGGCAAATCCTCAGCAACTCCTTTTGTTGGCATCCCTTTATGCAAAGCACTGGAGTGTTCTCATGGCTGCTGCCAGCAGGAGAACAAACCATTAACAAAGAGAACAACATTAACAAAGATTAGATCAGTTGGATACACTAGTTAGGCTATACCTGGCTTGTAGAATGGGAGTTTCACACCCATGCTAATGAATTAATGTAGCATACATTCCTTAGGTGGAAAAAAAAATCAGATTTTTGATGCATCTAAGTGAAACAATAGTGATTAAAAAAATATCCCCAAAATCCCTAAGCTAGGCAGATTCATCTTTATAAAGGAGAAATATAAGTTAAACATGGCAGAAGTATATAGTATCAAAAACACATTTTTATGCTTCTCTTTATTCAACTCTTTGTCCTGTAGTGTAAGGGCCATTTGTGCGTGAAAAGTCTTGTTGATCATCTTCATCCAAATCCAGAATGTCTGGGATATCATCTGACTCTGAAGACAGGTCTGTAATAGTGAAATCAGGAATCTGCATAGGAATGAAATTTCAATCAATTTAAAAGCAAAACTAAATAAATTTCTGCAGTACTCATCATGGAAGTCAGGAGACTAAGATGCTCAGCAGCTCCAGAAATCAGGCCCAAAATACTTACTAGAGTGAAATATGCTGAGTCACCTGAGAAATATATCGCATTAAGACAGACCAAATACTATGCCAGATGTAGACCAGTTGCTTAGACGACAGGATTTTATGGTGGAAATGGAATAGAACTTAGTGGAGTATACTTAGTGAAACTGGTGACTGGAAAATTAAGAAAGGAAGTTTTAAAACTTATTTTGCCTTTCTTCTTGCCTTGGGAGCAATGGGCTATAGAAAGACACCTACCTTGAATAGCTTGATAGGGATTGCTCTGTGCTGCTCTGCCTCCCTACCACATCAAACTTTTTCTGCAGAAACGAATATCTAGAACAGCAATCCCACTTTGGCCTCTGTTTTAACTGCATGTATAGTATTCTGTACTGTTAAGCAGTACCAAGTTTCAGGAATTGCCAGAGACATTAGTGGATATATGGATGTTACACACATCTAAAAATGTTGGCTAAGACACTTAGGAGCTTAAGTCCCAACCCTTAAGTCCCCTTAGTAGGACTTAGATTACTTAGGCACTTCTGAAAAATGGGATATAATTAAGTAATTTGCTCATAACCAAATTTTTTTGCCCCAAGTGAAGAATATTTATATCTATAGTCTGATTTATGTATAGCTTTAATGTTGGCTATGTGGCACAGTATCAGCATGTAATGATTACTGCATGCTGACAGGACTGGTTCTGCATGTCAAAGCAGCAACAACTTGAAGAGGCTTCTAGGCATTTGTGTAACTTAAGCTCAGTGCTGACTGGAGAAGCAGTTTTAATCCATTCCCGAACTGCAAAACACCTCACTTGTGACTTACTTTTATGAAAGATAGTATACAAGGCAAATCTGTGCTTTGCCAGCTATGAAGACGTGTCAGAAGAACAGGGAACACATCAAAAGATAAAGAGATTACTGTTTCTGCTATCAGGTTGTAGATAACACTGAAGCACTGAACATTAATCACTCCATTCCTTAGAGCAGGTAGCCATAGGGCACCAGGGACTTATAAATATGAATTCAAATATTAATTAAAAAGGAAGGTCAAGAAGAATTTAAGCAGCATGTCACTTATCAGGTGCTAGTGTGAGTGCAATAACATGTGTAGACCACTTTGAAAACCTAAGCTTGATCCTTTTCTGTTTCCTAAAAAAATCAAGAGGTACTAGGAATGGGTGAAACACACTTTTCTACTGGCAAGAATTATCTTGTGTCTTTCTGCTTATGGCAGTTTACCTAAAATTCTTAATTATTGCACCCAGAAAAATGAACAAGTTTTCGGGTTACCAGTGCATGACCCTGTATTTCATACTGCAGTACAAATGGGGCTATCTTAACAAGACTAAGGCCAAGTAGTCCACATGCAAGCTCATTTTAAAATGCGTCCAAAAAGATGGTTTCAAGTTGCTTTATTCTATATTTACACTGAGCAGGACACGTGACCATGTTCAGTAACTGTATCTGACCAGTGATTATTTTCACTATCTCCTAGGTTTAAGACACTTTTATTGCTTATATCCATGTTGTTCTTACTGACAACAGGATAATAGCTCAAGTTAAGTTTGTGCTTTCTTCATCTTCTTAATGTACACATTATAAGCAGCTGACTCCTGAGCACGTCTACAACAGTGGATACACTCTACAAATTGAGATTAAATAGGGACATTGTCTGGCTGGATTCATTCAAAAGTTAAAGTAAAGAGAATTAATTGCTGAAAGAATTCCAGAAGTCTTAAATGAGTGCCTAGCTGGAGAGGAATATCTCACCATCTCATGTTAATTTCATGTTAAACTGACTCCATACAAAAATAAAGTATTTAAAGTAGAAAGTTACAGAATCTTTATCCATAACCCTCTGGTTTAATACATGTTTATAATCTGTAACCCTCTGTTGTTTAATTTTGTTTCATACATGCTTAAAACACAGCCTTCCAAACACTTGTAGACCCACCCTGACTTAACAGCCAAGCAAGCCCTCACACATTAGTAGACTACATGCAATTTGCTTTAGTGCCCACACTGTACCAAGTGAAGGCATTGTTCCACAAAGCAGTATGTCACTAGGTGACAAGCTTCCTCTGAACTCCATTTTGCTTCACACTATTTGGTGACCTCTTTGAAAACGGTGGCCAGCATTGCTACACTAAATGACTGCAACTCAAAGTTGCAGAGACCATGCATTAAGAACACAGACAAAACTTACCTGGACAGCCCTAAACCAAGAAAGCTTATTTCTTAGTGACTGTAATTCTCTCACAGGGGAAGAATTCACAGGATTTATTGAGGAACAATTCCACCCAAGTAGCTGAGTGTAAGTGTGCATTAGTCACCCAAGTTCAAAAGAGGGTAAAGTTAAACAAGTTAAAACGTGTTTGCAGCTGAGGAGTATATACTGTTTATAGTGAGCCAGCAGCCTAATGCATACAGAACACCTGCTGTGAAGGCAGAACATGGGGTTTTTTTGGTCCATATCCTTTTCTCAATATAAGAATATCCATCAGATTAGAGCTTAGGTCATCATTAAAGGCAAGCAACAGCAAGCACCAAAAAAAAGCAGCAGTAAAGCTAAGACTGAATGGAAAGGTGCAGAGAACTCAAAGGAAGGAAGCAAATGCTGCAGCTATATCTAACCTATCTATACATACACACACAAATACATTTTCAATGCCTGTCTACTTCATTTGCATTTCAAGCTTGCTTTCTGCTGTACTCAGTTTGAAGGAGTCGCAGAACAGCAAGTTACATTTGTTTTAAACACCATTGAAATGGAGACAGACTTTGGCTACTGAAGCATTTATTACTAACATACAAAATTAATTACAGAAAGATGGCTACAGAAAACACCAACTACCCACACAACAGCAGGCATCTGGGTACAAACAGCATGAATCTTGTCTTTATACTGCATATTTTAAAAGTGTATTGATAATTATTTGGTCATCACTGGAACAGGCTCCTCAGGGAAGTGGTCATGGCACCAAGCCTGTCAAGAGTTCTAAGAGCATCTGGATGACACTCTTAGTCATACAGTTTAATTTTAGGCAGTCCTGCAAGGAGTAGGGAGTTGGACTTGATGATCCTTAGGGGTCCCTTCCAACTTGAGATATTCTGTGATTCTGTGGTCAGGTTACTGTGTTTTACAGTAGTTGTTTATACAGTTAATGTTAGCACTGTCACAGCATTTAAGTAACTTCAGCTGACTCATTCAGAAACCCCACTTTCAGCTTTGGAATTCTGCACTCAGAGAACTTCTGTCATGAATTATGTAGCAGTAGAATTTAAGATAGTCATATTCATAATAATCAAATGCACGATCTGCAGCAAATATGGAATTTAAGCACACCGAGCTAGACTGTAGGGCTTTTAAATGCATTTCTTAGTAGGTAAGGCTTTTATATCACTCTGGTACAGAATAAGCAACAAATCAAATGCTATTAGCTACAATAGGTTTCATTTAGGCTAATGGTGTTAATACCATTAATAAGCATGGTGAGGTTTCTTAACTTGACAGACAAACAAGGCATCTTGACAGCTGTAAGCTGCCAATATTTAGGCATTGAGGACAGTCTGAGTTTGAGTGGCTTAACTACACAGGACAATACAGCCCATGTGTAAGTGTCCTTCCTCTGCATCATTCTCCCACTCCTGTTTATGGATTTTTCTGTAAGGCTTTTTTGACAGCTATACTTGCTAAGGCCACTTGTTTGGTCAGTCAGCAGAGTACATGCATGCTATGCAGTTTATTCAGTAGCGTGTTCAGGCTGTTTGTCTTTCTGGCTGGAATTGTTCTTCCCTTCACCTTTGCTCTCAGCATGCTGAATGCCAGGCAGTTGTGGGTAAAAGGGACCTACCAGCCAGTTGAGCGGTGTGTTGTTAACAAGATAATCCATCACATCATCCAGAGACTCCTTCATTTTCTTCAGCTGTCCTTTGCTAGTGGTAAGAAAGCTGTCTGATAATTCTTGGAAGGAGGATGCTGACCGAAAGCTCTGGTAGACATCACCTGCCATTGACCCAACACTGTAAACCTGATCCTGCACATTTTGTGGCAGCCCTTGAAGGCTCGAGACCAGTGTGAGGCAGGTGGTCTGAAGCCGCTGAGTGAGGCTCCGTGCAATAGCTAGAGTTCTTGACTCAATTTGCTGGGAGGAAAAAAAAAAAGTGTAACAGCACATTAGTAACCTTTTATGACAACAGCAACTTTATGTTGCTCAAGATACACAAAGAAGTAAAGTAAAGGGGATGTAAGTAAAATAAAACTATAGCAGATAATAAAACAGGTCTTAAGTCTGAAAAGTCAGAGACTTGAAAGTACTCAGTGATTTCCTCAATGCTGAAGTACTCTGTGGAACAGAAATGTTAGTAGCTTCTACCCAGCAACATATAAGCAAGCTCTTTTTTCAAGTCCAGATAACAAGTCACAGCAGGTAAGTATATTCTTGATCGATGAACCACTGTTTAAAACTACATATAAGACTCCATGAGCCTGTGCCTAGGACTGCTATATGCTGAGAAACTGTTATTTCTGGTCAGGCCTATCAGATAAGTGAGTCCTAGCTGATCTAAATATGGATATCCCGACAGAGGTTCACATGCTAGACAGGATGAGAATTGTCTTGAAAGAAGAGTGAACCCCAGAGCGTTTGCAGGAAGCAGGCTCATTTAAAAGTTTGTATGTCCCCTGCGCTTCATATTAGTCACTAGTCAGCTGCTCAGAGCTTCAGTATTCAGATTCCACATTTGTACATAAGCTTCTGTGCTGTTAAGAAGCTGCACATGTTAGGGACTGTTAGTTCACCATTATCTTGGCAGTATACAATTCATTTCTTTCTGGTTTACATTTACATCTATTTACCTCAACGCTATGCAGTTCATCACCATCATTTTGGCCTGTATTTTTCTTCCATTCTGCCCAGGATTGATACAGCTTTTTCTGAGCATCAAGAAGTTTCTGATTGGCACTATTCATGTTCTTTCTGGCATACTCAATCTGAAATACAGCCAAATAAGGAAGTAAAGCAAAGTATCCAAACAGTTCCATTAGAGCTACTCTACCTTACATGCTTTGTAATCTCCTTTTAAAATACTTTTTAAAAAGTTCAGCATGAAGGACTTTGGGGAATACAAGAGCGTGTTACTTCTCTTTAAAGAGAAATCTGGAAGCAGTTTTGAGGTATTATGTAGTGTAACACATGCTTTAACTATTTACCCCTTCCCCACTAGCATCCTACACAAGGATTTGAAAGTGTATAGAAGGCCATGACTCCTTATGCACAGTTTGTCCTGTACATAAAGGTACATTGTTAGGGTAAGACTACTGAAGTACTCAGGAATGCTCAGCAATACCCATAGCAAGAAGAAGAAGCCAATAAAGAATCCAACATTTCATTAACAAACAAGACTTAAAGGACTGAACTGTTTCTAAATGGCATGACACTTTCTTCACTGAATGAAGTCTGTGTCAAACCCAGCACTCAAAACAGAAATAATTTTAAACATGTCACTTCTATGTTTGCCGTGCTTAAAATTACAAGCAATTGATTGTTAATTTACAGCTCAGCCTGATTTAGAACCTCTCCGGAATGGTGGTGAAAAGCTCTGAATGGGAAATGCTTTATATTTAGAAAACGCATTTAGTCTGAGATAGCAGTTCCAGTTTTCCTATGCCTCTTCTGGCTGTCTTCTGCATTCTAAAAATTATTACAACATTTGCTTCTTATACCTCAAGTAAAAGCTTAAAACTTACCAGACTAACAGTGTGGTGGAGCTGAGAGATTGTCTCCTGGCTTTTCTGTTTTGCATCTCTAACTTTGTTTAAGGCTTGTTGGTAGGCACGTGTGCGGACCTTTGAAGACAGGGATCCTAGTCTAATGTAGTAGCTTGGCTTCTGAACTCCAACTTCAAAACCTTCAACTTTCGCAGCTTCTTTCTCTACACATGTAGAAAGCAAGCAAATTGACTACTGGAAGAAAACTTAAGAGGGAGGTCTGAGGCAATTTTATTTGCTTAGTAACAGCTGAATACTTGACTTGTTTAGTAGCCTTTTATCACCAGGGTAGGTTGATAGGCCACCATACATGGAAATGCTTACTTTTACTCTGCTTCCTCGTCAAGAAGACGCCATTACAACTGACAAGGCAAAAGGCAGTTTGGGAAGCATATGCCCCCTCCCCATTACGAGTAAGTAGTAAATGGATCATTGCTCACTTCCTTCCAACAAAACTACTCCAACAAAACCAAACCTTGAATTGGTCTTACCTAGTTCTGCTTCTGTAAGTGGGAGATACTGGTCTACAAGAGTCTCTGATTTAGTGAGAGCACTGTCCACTCCACTGCTCACCATTTGCACCACACGACTTCCCAGGATGGTGTTAATGCTGCCATTGACAACTGACTTGGTCATTTCTACGCTGTCTTGCACTGCTTCCTTAGTCTTGCCCACAACTCCAGTGATCGTGTGAGCAACAGTTTCCTTGGCACCAGTCACAGTGGTTGTTACAGCTTCTCTGGCTCCAACAACTACATCCTTGGCATTGGCGACAACCTGCCATAGGAAACAGGTTGATTCACGAGAAATATTTTCTAGGGAGAGCTACATAATCCATGAAATATAAATTTATGCTAAAGCCTGTACAAGTATTGGTTATCTAGGAGAAATTCTATCCTGAAGAGATATATACACAAGATGAAACAAAACATGACTACAACACAGCTTTCAGCTCAACACATTTCAGTGAATGTAATTCAGGCACTATCTGCCTCACACTGAGCAGGAAAGAGACAAGGACTCAAAAGTTCAAGAAGATGCCTACCAGCGAACAGCAGCTAGGTGCATAAAATGGTGGGTAAATTTAAAGAAAAAAAAAAGCCTCTCAAAGGCAACAAACTCTACAGAAACACCTTTCACTTCCTTACTGCTTCTAAGCTGTGCTTCAGGCATGGCTTATTGTAATCTGTCTCCCTGTATTTTAGTGATAATAGAAAAGAAGAAGGGTACATAGTTGTTCTGCTTAGCATATGTACATGGAGAGAACTTACCTTGTCAGTGGGCTGATTCAGTATAGGCAGTCTCTCTTCAATTTTGTCTAGACCTATACACGCATAGTTGATGGCAACTACAACTATAAAAGAAATTACAATAGTTGATTTTAAGTTTTGAGGTTTTTTTCCTTAGTATAAATAGCTCCACTGAGAATTCCTCTTGAAACAGACATCTTGCAACAATGCTCTTAAAGTAGTTTCCTCCCCATTCCATTGAGATTTGAGGCAGCAAAGCCTAAGAACAAGGCAGGTTTACAGTGCCAGAAAAAAAGCTCACTTGCAGACAAAAAGAATCCGTTCAATACTTTACAAGCAACTGTTAGAACAAGCTGAAGCACCTGGCCGCCTGCCACTTCATCAAACTAGGCTCCTGGTTACAACAGCCTTGTGACACAGTTGCCAAATTTAACCACAAGTTGTTCCAGTGAGAGAAAGTACAAAGTAGCATCTGAAAGCAGGTGAAAGACAGGAAGGTGTTAAGCAAGAGACTACGTAACCACCTTGGCTATCAAGAGGAATCAGTCAGTCTGGTATTACAAAAGCTGGAATCTGCTTGGACTCTGGATATTTTTTTCTTTTTGTTAAGTCATACCCATCCGTAATCAACAAGCCAGACAGCAGGTTCAGTCAGCTACCTGAAACAGTACTCCAGACTAGCATGATTGCTAAAAGAAGTAAGCTGAATTAAAGTTATAAACATCTCCATCTTTGCCTTACTTTGTGGTTCCAGTTTCTGGATGATAGGCATAGCACTTGTCATGGCTACTGAAGTAATCGTCTTCACTCCTTTCTCTGCTATCTCACATACTGACTTCAGATAAGGATGGTTGTCCTTTGTGGTGATGTAAGCTGTGGACACCATATCATAGGTGGAGCTCACCAAGGGAAGGTTCACAACCCTCGATACAATGTTCTGTTTAAAAGAGAAAGGTTAGTTGACTCCTATTTTTTTCTGAATTACACATAAAAACCTATGAGATTAACTCAGACATACCTGCTGTGGATCAATTGCTGCCAAAGCCATTTTGTTCAGGTCTTGAATCTTACACAGCCTGTGAAAGAATAATATCTGAGATCTGTCATCCTCATATGCACTTCATCTAATCACCAGACTTTGAAACCAACAATCCTTTTGTAATCAACCCTATTGATCAAAAGGGGATTAGGATGTACACATTCCTGCATACAGGAATTGCATTTTATTGTAACAACTTAGAAATCAAAAACTTTGTTGCCTAATTACTTTGTTTGGTTTAGGCCAAATAGGGCACATGCAAGAGACTGGCTTTGAGGTATGGCAGTTCATTGCGGAATTACCAAAAAGTTACCGACTGGTAGATTAATTTATTTTTCTGGAAGATATAGGCACATTTAGGCTGATCTGTCGAGCAGGGACAAAGAAATGTTAGCCAACAAGTCACCAAAATTCTGGTTTAGGATGTCCATGTTATATAAAGAATCCACCACCAATATCTTAAATCAGAATAGACCTGTTAGTGTAAGGTAATCAAGTTTTTTAATTCGAGCCAGCACTGCTGTCCAAATATTGAAAATACACCCGAAGACTGAAGTAAAGCACTCATCTCAGTAATCTCAGGTCAATTCCACTAAACTCAAGGGGTTTACTCTCTCTAATGCCATGCCTGAGACTCACGTAGGGCTCCCCCTGCTCAGCTTGCTCAAAAGTTAGTATTCCTGCAATGTACAGAGCACAGGACTTTCCAAATGCAGAAAATAAGACTCCCTTTATGCTAATTTAGACTTAATTATTACCCATTCCACACTGAAACAGGCTGCAGACACCAGTCATTCAACAAGCCCATGCTGCTCATTTGTTTTCCAACATATATCTCCATGGAGAAAATACTGTCAGCAATTCCCACATTTACCCTGTAAGAGGAGAGGGGTATTGCAGTACAAGGAAAACAGAGAGGAGTGCAGTGTCATCCTATGCACACATGCAGGCTGAACTAAATCTGCAGGAAGCACTTTTTACTTTGAAGGTTTCATATGACACTGAAGTTTCATAAGGACCTGCATAACTGAAGGCAACAGAAAGCCAAGCTAAAATTCAGACCTTGAAAAGACTGTTTTTCAAGGCTTTCTGCAAGGTTTGTCAAAGAGCCAACAGCAGTTTTCTTTCTCAGTATGACAGTGTCAAAAGGAGCATGTTAAGTTTCTGTCTGGGGTCAAGTAAAACTTTTCCCCATGACATAACGGGGAACAAGGACAAAGGCATGATGTTAATATTTTACAAGCATATTTGCACATGTTAACACACATATGGGCCATAAGGTAACACTTGTAATGAGATTAACCACTGTACATGGAACATACAAGCAGTTAACAGACAAGGTTACAGCAGAAAGAGTTTTCCTTCCAAATATTGAAGCACCCCCAGAAACATGTTATGTGACTCATATAGCATTACAAGTCAGATTACTTAAGAGTACAACTGAAGTTTACTTTGTACTGCAAAGCATGCTGTAGAACAGAAGCTCACCATACAGAATCTGGCTTCTGAAGGAAGAAGGGCCCTTACTTTAATGATTATTCAGTATTTGTAATGTGTCCCAAATGATTCAGTCACACACAGCATAGATTTTAATTTTACTCACTAAAATAGGAGAGTTAGTCTGTGAAGATATTACCACTCTTAAAGACAGAGAAGATAACTAGGATGCTGCAGTTTCAAAGATGCTTTGTATAGTTGCAGCCCTGGCAGGTCAGATCCACTTCACCAGAGTGGGTGAAGAAGATGCCTGAATCAAAGCCCGCGGTACAAATGTGTATTCAGAGACAGCAAAAGATGCTCAACAGGGAAGTGAATAAAGTCACAAATTCAATTTCTACTCCTCGGCCTCCCCCCTTTCGCCCCGCCCCCC